AGCGCCTACTTCAACAGTAAAAGGGTTTTGTTGTTGTTGTATTACAAACTGTAGATCTCCAGAGCTTATACTTCAGTGGAAGAGAATATGGGCTCGTATTGGACCTCTTGCTACAGATTTGTACACTGACTTCCTACTCCACAGATACGTTCTTCCCTTATTTACAGCATTCATGCCCCACCGGAGAAGAACTGAACATTGTCTTTGGGGCCTTTCTTAGCACTGAGAACACTCCAGGGAGAGGGAACATACCTTGTTCTTTGCCTGATCTTGTTAATAAAAGAGTGGCTGACTTTGGAAAAGCTCTAAAAACGTCAGACTAAATTTTGGTTCGGGACATTTGAAGGAAGCCTAACTTTAAATGCTGACAGGAGGAAGATGACAGACGGCTTTTCCAATAACAGCTAAGCTTCGAACATCATCATGTCAATTCAGGCATTCATAGTTTGAAAATATTTTAGCAGTATAAGCCAAAAGGTAGCATGCGTTAGGAAAATGTACCTGTTTACTGCTTCTCCCAAGAGCAAAATGTGATGAAAAGCAGTCAGCCTGGCTTTGGTACCATTACAGATAGCACAGGTAGAGGAGCCTTGTTCTATCAGTCTTCTCAGATCATCTTTTTGGAGACCATGGATGGTCAAAATGGCTTGGTCAACCTATCGCAGTAGCTAACCTATTTCTATCGTGATCTGAGGGGATATCACCATGTGAGGGGAAGACAGAGATTGACTGATGTTAGCCATTTCACCTCATGCACTACTTGGTAGCGTACTCAGTACTGGAAGACAGCCTGATATTGTGGCAATGAGTGCTGGACCAGCCGGGGGAACAGAGGAAAGAAAGAGGGAACCCCTGCACTGAAAAAACGTTATCAGCAAGAATCATTTTCCTGCTGCAGAGGGAAACTAAACAGCATACAACAGAAGTCTGAATTTTGCTCACAAGCCTAGGATTTAACTGATGGTCAAAACCTGAATGAGAAAGGGACTCTAGCCACATAAGCCTTCTGCACCTGATAACCACCACTCATATGTGGAATCCCTCAGCAGGCAGCTAGTTACCCATGTGAGTAAAGTTAGACGTTGATTTATCTGCAGGACTACAGATTTATCTTCTTCCTGTCCAGCACTCACTGTGTTAATTCTGTAGTTCAGGTAGGTAAACTACTCGGTACTCCATCTCTCCTTTCTTCTCTTTCTCTCTCACCACATTTTATTTGGTTCTAAAGTGAGAAGGAGAAGAGAGCAAGGGATGTTAAAGTAAAGTCTGTAGAGGATTTCTCCTCTCCAGATTAAGATTTAATTGTATTCCTAGCGAGTCCCTTCTGGTTGCGCTCGGTCTTTCAGATGAATGTTTCATCAATATGATTAGGATCACATCCCTCAGTCTAGCCTATTTACACAATCTGTTGTGACAGCTCAGAGTATAGTACTCCCTAAAGGAAATATTAGATACCACCCTATCATTTTATTCAAATCATATTTTGCACTCCACACTATCAGTCTAATGTCATTCTCTCCTGGATGATGTTTTTGTGATACCCAGCAAGCGCTAAAATCCTTCCAATAAGGATTAGATTAATATTTATATTAGCCATCCTTAGGGCGATGGATACTTCTGAGGAGAGAAGGAAGGGGATGCACGTACAAAAAAAAAAAAGGCGGGGGGGG